AATAATATTAATTTAAAATTACCAGGTAGCTTATTTAGGTCAGCTTTTTTTGTGCAAAATCCTATTGCAATAATTCTTTCAAAGTAAATTAAAGAAATTTTAATGAGTATTGACCAATTTTATAAAAGAAATATTCGAAAGTTCATATTACCCGTTTCCTCCTATAATTTCTACTTCAAAATAAAGATATTCTTCATATTCTTCTGAGGGGTAATTTATGCGTATTGCGGCGGCATCATGTATCTTTTCTTCATTATCTTCATAATAATTATGTGTCAGTAAATTCAAAGAATGCGATGAATGTGAAAAATGCAGTGAATGAGAATAGTAGTGTGTCAATAAATTCAGAGGATGCGACAAATGTGAAAAATGCAGTGGATGAGAATAATGATATGTTAGTAAATTCAGAGGACTCGGCAAATGTAGCAAATTCAGAAGGTGCTACGAATTTGAAAAATGCAGTGAATGAGAATAATAATGTGTTAGTGAATTCAGAAGATGCGGCAAATGTGAAAAATGCAGTGAATGAGAATAATGATGTGTCAGTAAATTTGGAGGATGTGACGAATGTGAAAAATGCAGTGAATGAGAATAACGATGTGTTAGTAAATTCAAAGGACGTGACGAATGTGAAAAATACGGTGAATGAGAATAATGATGTAGAAGAACAATTTTTATGTGCCCTAAGAGAAGACCCTTTCGTTGTAGGTAATATAAAAGACTTAGAAGATGAAGATTTAAAAAAATTTATAGCAAGTTTGCAAGACGCAAAGAAACAAAGAACTTTTATTGTACTTACTGCAAACGCTATAAGGAAGCCTTTTTTTTTTGTATTGGAGTTTATTTCTGCCTTCCTAGGACGAGTTGTTTTTTATGTGGGTATGATTCTAGTTCTCGCAGCAATTATTCCTTCATGTATTGCGATTTATTTTCTGATGGCTTTAATAGCTTTGGTGGTTTGGATAGTTTCTTGTATTATTTTTTGTGCTCTTTTCTGTATTCTTTTAGGTATTTTGTTGTTTTTACTTTTGTGCATGCTTTCAAGCGCTCTTATATGTATTGCTAGTGTGGCTATTGCTATTCCAACTTCTATAATTTGGGTTCTTTCTCCAATCTTAAAACGTACAGGTGCTTACAAGAATATTTTGAAGGGAGTTTTTCATATGAGTGAAGATCAAGCGGAAAATTGGAATAAGTGGGCTGTTGCTGAGTGTTTTGCTGGTATATTGTTGCTTATCATATCGTGTTTTATTGCTTATAAATTTGGGAAGTTAAGTTGTATGCCGGTGCCAATATGCTTATCATATATAGAGCGCTTGAGTGACTTTTATATTGAATTGACAAGGACATATTTTAATAAGATAATGTCAGTGACAATTAAGATATTTGGACGGTTGTATAATTCGATGAAAAGATTGTATAGTAATATTTTTGAGAAATTAAAAGGTTGTAAAGAATTTCTTAGGAATTTAGGAAGGCCACCGAAAAGACTTAAATACGGAAAATGTTCATCTTGTAAACTATATAATACTTATAAAGCTTGGTGTCAGAAATGTGATCCAAAAAATGAAATTAAAGAATTTAAAAATACGTGTAGACAGAAGAGTGATGAGAATGATGACGAATTTAGAAAAGAAGTTAATAAATGTATTGAGGATTTTATACATAAAGCCATAATGTACACAGAAGTGATTGAGTGGATTCAAAATGAAGAAAATGAAAAAAATGAAAAAGAGCTGGTGATCGATAGACCGATTGGTGAGGGTGGATTTGGCAAAGTATATTTAGCAGAATGGCAGAAAGGTATACGCTTTTTAGAAACAACGGAAGATGGTTATAAACAATCACGTAAAAAAGATTATGTTGCACTCAAAACACTCAAAACACTCAAAACTTCGTCCGATCGTAAAAATTTTTTGAAAGAAGTAAGTAAAATTATTATTATGAATTATCGTAACTGTAGTGTTTAATGATGCCTGACGAATGATGAAACCTATGACGAATGATGAAACATAAGACTTATTCTTTTCTTTCATAATGGAAATAAATTCGTCCATGTTAATTTTTTTTTGTCGACATTATCATGTGAGTGCTACCATCAAAGGAAAATGAGACCATGGGCTTTCAAATTTATCAATAAACATAAATTTTGTCTTATTTTCCCTTGACAGCACTCATTTATTATTATTATTATTATTATCAGTTGTTATTATTTTTATACCCGCGAAGGCATTAATCACACTGAGGTATCCGATGGGCCTGACGAAGAAGACTACAAATAATACTGTAAAAACATATTATTCAGATTCCATGTAATGTAAAACTAAGATTAAGTTTGGTGGCATAGACTTTTTTATAATGAACTGATTGGTTTTATTGAAAAAAATTTGTTATCAATTAAAAAGTTACTAAGTTTCCATATGGATGGTGAAACTTTGTAATTTTGAAAATTTTAAAATCCAGCATGTCCAGATGTTATAAATAAGCACATTGAAAAAGGATAAACTGTATTTTTATATTTTATTGGTCAAAATCGATTCGTCAAGGGTTTCAACAATCGTTCGTGAATCGTCAAGTTTTCTTCAGACGAATACATTGACAAGATTATTTGTCATTGAAAAAATAGTTTCGTCAGGCATCATTAATGATGTTCGCAAAATACAATTTAATCTAATGCATGTTTATCGTTTCATAAGTTTAAAGCTATTGTGAAGTGCGGATTAAATGGTAGTGGACTTAAAGCATATGGATTAACCATTCTAGATGGTGAATATTCTATAGTATTCCAATATGCAAATCAAGGAAGTCTTGAAAAATATTTAGCTAAAAATAGCGATCTTAAATGGGAAAAGAAATTAGAACAACTTATATTTTTATCTTCATCTACATAAAAGAAAGTTGTTTTATTTTAAGCATTAAACTTTAACTATCTAGCATATTTATCTAA